AAAGAGAAAAAAAAAGGTATTCAAGGTTAGGAAAAATAACGCTTAAAATTATAATGGAAAAATAACGCTTAAAATTATAATGGAAAAATAAACTAGACTTAGTTGAATCATGAATTTATTTCCTCCAGAAAAAAACTTCCATCGAAAAGTAAGAAGGGGTTATAACAAAAATGAAATGCATATTTCAAAAACAGTTCGCTTAGATAAATACATTTCAAATCACCTCCTAAACACATTACTTTTGCCAATTAATGATATGACAAACGATTACTGAGTGTGGAAGAATAGGAAAATTAGAAATGATTCGATTCTAAACAGTACCTATTTCACTGTAAAATTCCGAAATCCGAGATACTGATAAAAATATCTCTCATTCCATCTCGAAAATATGGACCAAAATAAACAAGTTCATAGCGCAGACTAAAGTTTAATGAATTTTTTCACAAATATTGCACCTGAAGTGTTGAATATCACCTTCAACATGCTATAACAGTACGACCAAGACAGTAAGTGATAATACCAAGGTTAATGTTGGTATACTGGCAGAAGTTCCTTTAGATTTTAGTTCTTGTTCCGGCAAGAAACCTGGCTTATCATTAGCAAGTTCTGGTTCTGGTTCTGCTTTCATCTGCTTTTCATGCTCCTCAGGCTCTGGAATAGCCACTATACTGTTGTCATCTATTGAATGTAAACCGATGACTAAACCACCATGTCCATCTCCAAAACCTGCAAAATGATGATGAAAACAAGGAAAACTTTTACCAATCAATAGCATGGTGAAAGATTAATATTTTTAATGCGTTTCATATCTTCCCGAATTGAAAATTCGGAAATAAGGACTGTCCACTACTGTCCTCCACTACTAAGCACGTGAATACCAGGTACGAGATTCTCGGATAACACTACCCAGTCCCAACCATTAATCTATTCAGTTTAATTCATTCGTTCGTCAAGTTATCAGAATTGGCATTGTCTCATTTGAAACAGCTAATAATCTGCAGAATTTTATCTGAACTAATGACTGATTTTTTTCAACTTAAAATCAATTAAGAATCAATCAGTGTGCTGAATGAGACAAAAGTTAATCCGGAAAGTCGTGAAAGATTTGGATCACATAATAAATAAATTTCCACTTGTCAAAAGTCGTCAGATTGGGATATTGATGTCTTGTTGCAAAAATTACAAAGAAGAAGCTCACCTGCATCAGCAGGATTCCCGGGAACACAGTTATAAGTATTGCCAATCTTCAAAGTATATAGTCCCTCCTTGCATTCGCAGAGATCATTTTGACATACCGAATCCAGCAAGCATTCCTTACCATTTGAGCAGTCACCACCTAAATTATTGATGTTTCCCAAGTTTGAGATTCTTATGGTCGCACTATGAAATCATGGAAAAACACAAACCCGGAAATGCAAATTGACTTCCACTCAATATTTCGGATAACGAGTCCGTACTGGTGGTACTTTCTCGAACTTTTGGTACCTCGGATCTAAATTTACATAAGTTTTCATGATTATTTATTATTGAGTTTCCATTTTGGGATAATATCTCATTCTTCGAAAAAGGTACTATTAAAAAAAAAAAAGTAATTAAAAGCAACTCCTCAAATGGCTTTCCGAATCCATCCCATCCAATATACGCATGTTCCTTAGCGTTTTGCTCCTCAAGCCAACTTATCAGAGGTTGATAATATTCCAGCATAGCGCTTGCATCAACTTCTTTGCTACCTATTATTTTTTCAATTACAAAAGTGAATTGGGGAGGCTAAAGAATTAGTATCATGCCATCCTTCTGATCCTTCTGATTCTTCTAGTTTTATTTGTTAATAATGCTCAGTCGTATCACAGTAAACGATTTAACAATTAAAACACTTTACACAGTGATAAATGGTGGTATTTAATGTGAATAGATGTAAAGTTTTATGATAATCATGATAAGTGTTAAATTTGGCTATATACAATCACTGATTGTGGGATTACTGCAAATTGACGATCCCTATAAATTTATGAATTATTGAGTGGAAGCATTTGTTTCTGAGAAATTACTCTTTTTGGTACTGTTCTAAATGATTTCCACACTTTGAAAAGCCATTAAATAAGAATAAGGAACCTGTAATAATTTCCAATGCTTCGCGCCAAGTAATTGATGAACCAAGTGCCATCACTTTTTTAATTTTATCAATAACTGAATTACGTTCTAACATACATCCATTGCTCTGAAGAAATACTTTCATTTCATTTCTATCAGAAGCAAAGATTCCAATTTCCATATATTTAGCATTAATTAAGAAGTGCTTTTAACTTTTATTTTATTGGTCGGCTTTCGGAACCAAATTATAATCCATTCTTATAATTCAATCCAACCCATTTTAATCCAGCTAGAAGCAGTTCACCCCGACCGCCAATCAATCGACTCAGTTCAAGCTCGAAATTTAAACTTTACCAAATTTGTCGTATCAGGACACAAAGCTTTGAGGATTTGGAATTGCATTATGTAGGCGAAAAAGTGTTTCATTGCTGGAGCGTGCGTTTGAGCAATGGTAGAAAATGCAATGGCGTCGAAATCAGTTGATTTTCGTTCCACTGGCGATTTGATCCCTTGGAATAATTCACTGAAAAAAAAAGAAAAAAAAAGAAAAACTGATTTTATTGAATTCTCTATTCTTCTCAAAAATTTCCGCCAACAAAAGACTGAAAAATTTCCATTAATTATCTTTCCCTCTTTATACTCTGAATGTGATGATTGAATTCAAAAATTGCTATAGCCTTTTTTTAACGATTAATTAATATTTTCTTGCATATTTTCTAACTCCAACAACAAATAGCTTACCTTAGTTGCCACCAATCAGAGTTCCAGGTAGCATTTGTTGAAGTACCATCAAATATATGAAATCGCCACATATCAACCGCGAAGTCGAAGGGTAGTTTGACGAAATCTTCAAGTGCTTCCAAATACAAACGATTGATAATTTTTGAGTGACTAAATCCAGTTTCCGATGTGATTAGTTTCTGCAAAATTTCAACAAGGAAAAGTTCTTGTGCATATTTCAAAAATTATCATAACTAATACCTCATATGGTGAAAAACAAATAAACAGCTAAACATATAATAACCAAACAGTAATTACCATCATTTTCAAATACTCTATATTTCGAGCATTAATTGCGAAAGCGTTAGTCACAGCGGTTAAAAGACTTGGATTTGTTGCTTCACGAAACAGAAGAGGTTGGTCACGACACATATAATAATGGTATATGTGAACAAGCAATTTATGGGTCAATTCAAAATCGGGTAAATTAAGATGTGCACATGCTTTTATCCTGGAAATTGAACAACTTTGAACTTGCATGAAAAGTTCGAATCAATCGGCAGAAATTCAACAACTAATAAAAATTTTATGGAAAGCAATTCTTGCAATAATTGTCATATATTTATGTCGCAGCAATCAATTCGGGGTTAAAGCAGCTCAGAATGGTTGGAGAGATGGCTAACCATTCTAGGGCCATCTCTTTTTTTCTGATTAAAATTCTTGATCCATCATTTCACAAAGCAAATAATTCAAAAATTGAACCTATAATCATGCTTATCCCTCATATCGTAAGCTGCAGGTGGATGACAAAGCATATCTTTACTCCAGGTCCTCGTAAATATCGATTTCGTCCAAAAACTTGACGGTAATTTATCAAATCCAAGTTGCTTGAGAGTTTTATAAGTCTGTAAATAGCAATTTGAACTTCTTTAACTACCAGATGAACAAGTAATACTAGGATTTATTCCTCATTCTTTCTCTTCTCCCTTGCTAAATTAATTTTAAAAATTATTTCCGATATTTCAATACCTGTTTGAACATGTTTTTCACAGTATAGTTTAATTTTTGGAAGTTTTCCTGAACCTCCCTTGCAAGATGATCCTCATCCTGGTAGGGTTTCGTATCCCGATAGAAGGCGACCCAGTTGTCACTAGCAATACTCTCTGCAACAGTATTCGAACCGTAGTCAAATAGTTTTGCAAAGTTTTTTTTTAGACTACTAATAAAATATTTTAAAAAATACTAAAAATCCATAACAACTTCTAAGATCATTTAAGACTTAAAACGATTTGTAAAGTTAGCAAAGTTAGCATACTAAGCAAGTGTGCTGGGATAGGACCATCTCGTGTTAGATTAGACACGTTTGCTAGGCCATACAGAGCGGGTATTTGACGTCTTATATATGCGTGCAACTGAAATTTCAAAAAAAAACTTTCAAATTACCATATAGGGTATCGTAATTGCCGAAATAAATGTCTGTAGGTGTACACAACAATTTATTTTTTTTTTCTCAGGAACAAAATTAACTGTCAACCTGTTTATAAAATGGATTAATTTGCTGGTATAACTTCTGCAAAAGAGCAACGGTGTCACTTTGTTCTGTTTTTTCACGACGCGATGCAAACCGTTCGTAAGGGCTACGCCACATCGCTCCACCATCCGGAAAACCATTCAATTTAGCTCCTGTAAACGACTGAACAATTACGATAAAGGGAGTCCTTCCAAGTTCCTCAAAGTTTAAGAATTTAAAAGACTGGAAAATTGGAATATTTTATTACTTTTTAAAATTAAGCAATACCTTTATTAATCAATTCGATGAGACGTTTGTAAGAGGTAACCAGTTTCGGTCCTAATGCTTCACGCAATGCGATCCAAAAACGAAATGCTTTAGGGCCGTCATTCTCATGGGCAATAATTGATACAATATCGGAAACTCTACAACAAACACATGTTTCATATGTTTCCAAGGTTATGATAGACTTCCTCTGACAGAATTGAAAATTCTGATACTTATTTACTACAGTGAAATGGAAATCCGTTGTAGAAATAGGGGAAGAAGAGTATTTTATGCCAATAAAAAGTGAAACTTCCGAGTTAACAGGATAGTAGCCTAATGTTAGGCATTAATTAATTAGCTCAACCAATTAGATATTAATCAACTAGTTTGTTACCTAATTAATCATCTTAATGTCCTCTAACTTGTTTTTTGAGCTTAAATGACCTTAAGTTAAATGATAAAATTTATTGATAAATCTTAAGTCAAATAACAAAGCTGTTTAAAATAAAAAGCAACGAAAGCTTCTTCAGAACATTCAAGTTCTTTGGTCATAATATTAAGAAACATCAAGTTTGGGATTTCAAAATTTGACTATTAAAAAAAAAAGTGTATTAAACTAGCAAACCTGTAAGGACATATCGTTGCATTGCTCGTTTCACAAACTGAAGTTTCAGCATACGCTTTTGCTATCTAAAATAAATAGCTAAGGAGGCTAATCTGATAACAAGAAAGACAAAGAAAACGAAATAATTGATATAAATAAGTCTGACCAGCTTTTGAAGTTCATTGTATTCATTGAAATCATTTTCATCCAAGACATTGATGCCTTCTACCAAAAGAAGCTCAAATTGTCGTTTCAGCGATTCATCCTCAATTGCTTTAGTATCAAACTGCTTCGCTTGCTTCGAGGTGCTTTTCACAAATTTTCCTAACGTCTGAAATTCAAAACAGTAAAATTAGTCAGCCCAATAGGAAAATTAACTTGCTGTTCACAAACTTTTCGTAGTGTTTCTGAACATTTTGAATTATTTTAACTAGGACACATTCAACTTTCAAATAAATTGGTCAATTTCTGACAAAATTTTAAATAAACTTGAATGAATCACAGGCAGACCTCTTCAGCTTCATCAAGAAGTTGTTTAGTAAGATGCGATACTGATGTGACATAATTCCATCCGGCTAAAGCTACTTCACGCAATACTTTTTGTGCCTCAACAGCATACCCATTCATCCATTCTTGAGCTTTCTTACTATCTCGTATCGAATTTTCAGGCTGAAAATTGTCAAATGAGATATACACCAGTATATTAATGACATGTTGCTTTGAGCGGTATCACAGATCAAAGTTTCGAAAACTCTAAACTCATCGAAAACAGGAAATCCAACCAACAATTGAGCTTCTGCAAAGATTTATTTCGAGAAAAAAAGTTTGAAAAAATGAAGAAACCTGTAAATTGTTCAAATCCCAGTATTTACTCGAATTGATCAGTTTCAGAGCTTCTTTATTGAGTTTCTCTTCTTTTCCATCTTCCGTATCATCACCATTCAAGAAGCGGTTAACAAGTTCCTCGATAGCTTCATTATCAATAGCACCTGGTCTCGACTGTAAATTTACATTTATAATTCTTCCAAACAATTTCGCAAAATGAGAATTAAATGCAAATTATATTCTTCGTTTGTAAGATAATGGAAGTAAACTAAAATAGTACTTTTCGAAACTTTTTATAAATTTTTCAGGTGATGAAGCAAGACTCACAGAATCCGCACTACTATCATCTTCGTCGTCAAATTGTTCAGTATCATCCTCGAATGCATTGTTTTGGTATGATGGCATAAGGCTAGCGCCGCTTACTTTAACTGCATTCGGTTCTGGAAGTGGTTGGGGATCTTCACCATGAACTGTAAGTTGTGGAACTTGGGCTGAATGCATAGCCAAATGTGAAGAACCATCAGCAAATGGTTTAGCAAATTTGGCAGTGGTAGTTAGTATTGGTTGATGATGAAATCCTGATTTAGAAATAGTGGGATGAAAACTTGACGATGAGACGATTTCTTGTTCAGGTTCAGGTTTTGAATTTGGTTGAGCCGAAAACTCTGTAGAATGGTTCTGGGATGATAATTTACTCAAAGGAGTTGGCTGCTTAGCAATGGAATAAGTTCGAAGAATATTTTTTGCTTCCGCTGCTGCTATTATTGGTGCATCATTCACCGTACTTTGCATCAATGTAGGCCATATTGCAGAATTTCTGGATAGTGTCAGACTACTTTCTAATGTCGATATGCCAGTATCTTTTCTGGATCCATTTTGTCCAGATGAATTATCTTCATGTTGAGCATGAAGACGAAGCAGAACCACTGATATTATCAACTGCTGTAACAGTAACGTCCTTCTTATCATACTGCAATTAACGCTATTATCTATTAACTCTTCATCATATTATTATCAAGTTTTAATGACGCAAACAAAAAAAAAAAAGAAAAGAAAAGAAACTAATAGAACAAAGATCATTAGTGAACAGAAAATTCTGGATACGTGATGTATCACATTGTTGGGCATTTCATCATCACATCATTTATTTGCTATTACAGTATTTCAGTCACGTTTTATAAATTGGACAATTGTTGGATCAGAACAGCCAAAGAAGCATTTCGATAAATTTTTCCTTCTTCCTCTTCCTCTCTTATCCCCCCTCTCCAGAAAAAAAAAAATACTGAAAAGACGTATAACTCACGAAGGATAAGTAATTTCGATTAAATCAAAATATTAATCATCAATTTCCAATTGCTGTTTTCAAAGTGATAATGAATAATTCGATTATGTTTTATCAGGGATCAGCAAAGGGTAAGAAGAGAGATGATTAGTATTTGGGCATATAAATCAGCATTTAAATAAAGTGTTAAGCAAAAATGAAGTGGAACAAAACAACTTAAAAAGCATCGTTCAACTATTTACTTTTATAACAAAAATTTAGAAAAAAGAGAGAAACTAAATATGAAGGATGTTTAATGATTACGAAACTTTAACATAAACTACAATTTTCAGGGTCATCCTTAGGCTAATTTAGATCAAATTAATGTTTGCTAAAGGAGGATTAGTTGAACTTTTGCAAAATTCTAAATGAGAACTTCCATTCATCAAAATCTAATCAATTCAAAGTATTCGACGTCTTCTCCATTACTGAATACCTGAAAAATACAAGAGAAGGAAATGAAGGAATTGGAAAGTATACATCGAGCCATCATTTTTCCGGTAATTCAAAATGAATCGCGGAAAAGTGCGATTTAAAGATTTCTTTCTATCTGTCAAGGATCCTGTCCGTCTTTTTTTTCTGCTGTCTTCAGATCCAGTTTTGTAGAATAGCCATTGTGCTAAGGAGATGACAAAAATGATGCTGCCGAATAACACAACCAATGCAGGAAAGCTAAAAAAATACGGAGAAGAGACAGGAGGAAAGGAATAACCAGTAAGAAAAGGAAAAAGGACCAGAAAGGAAGCGTAAAGTGGTTAATAACTAAGGGTTTTTTTTTCTGGTACCCTTTATGTTCCCTTAGTTTAAGCAGGAAAATTCGAGATGATATCATTTCTCCTCCGCATAATCCTGTTTGCCACCTTGCCTACCATAGACAGATTACCCTTGCAGAACAGCCTAGTAAATTGCTTTGTCACAGTGATAACAGGTTTGGCAAAAATTTCGAAATTACGGTTACTGATAGCGTTAAACGATATCATAGGCATAGTTTGAGTACATATTTTAGATATAGTTTGAACAAATTACAACACACTGACAATGCATTTCATATGAAAATCTGAATATTTGTTTGAGGTGGATGATTGATAATGCTGTGAATGGGATGACAGAAAACGAGTTTGTTTAAGGTTGGCGTATTTTTTTTTTTTTGCTGTTAAAGATAATAAAAAGAACCACTACAATAGATGTAAGGACAACGATAATGTCAACAACAGCAACAATCATCGCAAGGACAAGAACAACGGAAACAAGGCGGGAGTAGTAAGTGTCGCAAATTGAATGTAAGAAAAAGAGGAGGCAGAAAAATTCGCGAAAATTTACATGTAAAGAAAAAGGAAAATGAATAAGAATTATGTAGATGAGCAATGTGACGATGAATGGGTGAATGTATGTGTGCGGCAAAAGTAATATCAATAAATCATGCCATAGGGTGATGTGATGCGGTATAGGTCGTCTAATAACCCACCTTCTATTCCGTTCCATCTATCCTTCCTTCGGGTGATTCGGAGCTTGATTCGGAAGTCAGCCTATCATCATGATCAGCTGTATGGTGACAATCTTTCCCTGTTTTCATTCAATCGTGTTAGTTCTTATTTCGATCCCGACCTTCTTTCTACCTGGGAAAATTCTTCCACAATCGTACTAACAATGACGACCCAAATTTCAATGTATGGAATCACTCCGCACATTTCACTGTCCAGTAAATCACTGCAACCTTTTGGATTTCAATCGAGCTCCTTATAGACATGTTTGAAGTTAAAAATAAGAAAGATAACTGAGCAGTTCATGCGACTATGACATTGACATCATTTATTCCCGCATTTTTCCATATCAAGTGTGGGACGATCTGAAGATGTTTGGTGTTAATATAGCAGGGAATGAGTAACCTGAACTTATATTGGCCAATTATGGTATTAATTGGAGAGAAACCAACATCAGTTTCAATCACCATTATAGACATTTTATTTTAGACATATCCAAAATTCGTTCGGAATTCGCCCACTTTCATCCACCTAGCAGCATTCCTTTAAGGTCTACATGTTTTGCATCGACATATTGAAAAACAACAAATGAAGGGGAAAAGGGGAACATTTCCGGAATGACAATTACTTGGACACGGACGAATTGTTTCGAATTGTATCTTTTGAAGAAATTTTTAACCAGTTTGAGCTTCACTTCTTTCTCGAAAACGTTACAAATGCAGGAAGTAAGGAGATTCTGCAGAACGCATGCAAACTGTAAACACATAGAAAATAAAGGAATCTATGCCTCGCCATTTCCAATCCAACTCTTTCAACTCATTTGAAGCAATTACCGAAAAAAGCAGACAGATATTTAAAGAACTCAGTAAAGAAATTCCACTGATGTTTTTAAAACACAACCAATGTTTAACAGCGATTAAAAGATTGCAAGAATGACATGACAACAACGAATGGCAACACCTTCGGGCGCATTTAGGTCTAACTGGTCATTTGTCGTCTATTGGATCAACTATTCGAGCACTCTCTCTCTCGCCACTTCCTTCGCCCCGAGCATGGTTCAACTTCGTTCAGCTTTCCTTGCAAATCAACGATGTATATTTTCACGATTCAAATGAATCCAATCATTTCGTGTACCGGATCAGTTGGTAAAGTTTGAGAACAAAACCGCCTGTTGAAGAAGTTACATATTAAAGAATATAAAGTAGATTCTTGATCTAAGGTTATTGTGCGAGTATTTGATAATGAAAAGAAAAAATTCAAAGTATATTTTTCAGAGATTATAGTTTATCACTGACATTTACGTTGGCATATTATTAACGCCAGTATTTTTCAAGATAAAAACGCTTAATTGGTAATAGTATCGATGAGTTGTGAAGTAGTTGTAAGTATAGCTGTTATTCTTGCAATTTTATAAATTCACCTTAAAGTTCGATCATTTTTTCGTTAATAAATTTTCCAGATCATTCTAGTTTCACCTTTCGAAGTTTCCGAAAAAAAGCAAGTAGTGTTGACAAGTATAAAAGATTTATTCAGTATGAGACATTCTGAATTTTTGTTGCTTCTCAGTCCTTTTAAGCATTCAAAAAGAAAAAAAAGGGAAGAAAAGCAGAAAAGCGATTGATCACTGGAAATTTTTTAATTCATGGAAAGAAATACAATTTAAAAGATTTAGTAAAAGTTTTGCAACTTTAAAATTGCAGCAATCTTTTTCTTAATTCCCATACTTTTCTGAAATTACTGAAAGCAAATACCAATTGTTAGAAAAACTAAGATAGAATGATAAAATGAACAATATTCGGATGGATAACAGCAATTCTACAATCAACAAAACCGATGCATTTTTCTTTTTTTTTTCGCTGCATTTCTGAGGTCCTCAAAGTTGTTGATAAATGTCATCGCGCTTCCCATTTCAATTCTATTGTACTTGAAAATCTTGCCTTAAAACAGGATTTTAACCGTAAAAACAAGAATTATTCAAAAATTACCTTTTTGTTCAGCATGAGTTACTTTCATTTAAAAGAACTGTTCCTTCTAATTTGAGAGATGACGTCTCTGCATTATTCTTGCTTACTTTAAAATAAATAAACTGTAGAGTTTTTCAAGTCTTAAATTTACAAGTATTGCGTAGTTGCAAATTTTAAAGCTTAAAAATTGTTTTAATAAACTTATGTTCACACATAGATCTTCATTGTGATTAATCCCTACAGTGTTAAATTAAACAATGTATTAATCTATGGTAACTAATTGTCTAGCGTAAAATAAGCTATGTATGTATAGTAATACGTGACCAAAATGATTTTTTGGAACAACTGATTTCAGATAAAGTCAGCATTGGCTGCTAGTTGCTGTGATATTTATTACTAGGATAAAGTAACCAATCAACACCTGCCTTACAACTATATTTTAATCAATGATATGGCGCAGCATGATTAAGAAGCGCTAATTATTTTCTATAAAACGAGATTACAATTATTCCATCTTTGTATTTGTTACAGGGCATTTTTTTTTGCAGTGATTTAAAACTGTAGTTCAATTTTTGGCCTCTCTAATAACAAAATTGATTATAGGAAAAGTTCATATATGAAAGCAAATTTTTGGAGAACGTTCTTACCCACAACTACCACTTAAGCAAGCATCCCGACTTGAGCATAACACATTATCGAACAATATCTTTTTAAAAGCAGTTCTAAAATCTCTGTTTAAAATCGCACAAATGATTGGATTCGCCGTGGAATTTGCATAACCTAACCATGTAACAGCCTGAAATATCAACAACATTTACAATAACCATTGCGGATTTTATCTACAAACCGTATTTCCTTCAGATCAGAATCCCGAAAAAAAAAGAAAGAACCCAGTTAATACTTTTAACAAATTCTGAATTACAGCGAAACATACACATCAACAGCTGTTGAAATTTCTTAACAAAACATGGAAAAAAGTAAATTCATTACTCAAATTTTTAAAAGATATAAATAAATTAAAAAAGTGAACTGGAATTATCTACCTTGAACTGCACATCGGATATCAAAGTTGGAAGAAAAGAGCGAATGACATTTACAATGAAAAATGGCATCCAGC